GGCTTTTTCAGAAACACTCAAAGGTTTTTATATGGGGTTTTTGGGACACCCCCCTCCCGATACTATGTGTTGTTTACCTAGAAAAACAATCAAAAAACAATTTTGTAAGAAAAATAATGTATTTATTTATTTTTGTTTGCGGGGGATTTTATAAGAGTCGCATTTCATAGGTTCTGCATTCACAGCCCTCTCCCCCACCTATGTCCTTCTCAAAGTTTCTTATTCTGTTAATAAGTTCAACAATTTTTATGTGTTTTAGTGAGGGGAGATTTATTCTCCCACTCTCCTTTTTAATCTTGTACAGGTGTTCTCTTGGTAAATAATGTAGTTTTCGTATCCAATATCCTACTAAAAATTTTGTAAACTTCTGTGGTTTATCCATCCGATCCTGGGGCTTTTCCATGCTTTAATTTCTGGTTTGCCTCTTCAATTTCCTTTATTTGAATTCCTTCGTCACACATTTACTATTGCTATTAATTTTATTAAAACCCTTCCCCCTAAATACTTTTCACTTTGTTTATCTGGTACATTTTGCGATGTATATAAATTCCCATAATATGTCTGTATCTGTCTTAAAACATCGGTCTTGTTCGTGTACATGTCATTTATACTAAATTCTTTTCAAGTTTTTTTCAGCTCCTTTCCTTATCTTACGAAGTCCCCATGCCTTTGTTTACAACTCCCCATTTTTCCTCGCTCTTATTTTAATCCCTCTAATTTCTTCATTTTGCTATTCTATAATGTCATTATTACATTTCAGTTTCATTTCGTCACTTTTCGTCTGTCGTTAATAATATCCATTAAAATGTTGTTCCTAATTAATTGCTTTTTTTCCTCTAAAAAAGATTTCGTCACTTGAAAAAAGGTTTTGATAAAATAAATTGCTTCAGTGACGGATGATTATATATCTATGTAAAGATATTGAAATCTATTTGATGAAATTTGCATTGAAACCGAAATATTCTAAAGATTTAAACATGAATTTGTAGTTAACAATATCGAATGCCTTTTCCTAATATAGGCAGATTACGGGGCAGAGGATTTCGTTTTGCTCTTTATAGACGTAGAAGTTGCGAATTAAGTGGCCACTATCGAAATTTTAGAATTCCTTAACAACTCATGTTTGATCCCTGTGTACGACGGTTGGCATAACATAACAAATCTGTACTAGCCAATAACATTGTTGAATTTTCTTTGCTGTCTTTGTATGTCTTTATTTTTATTACCAATATTGCTCTAATTGCCAATATATTTTATTCAGATTTAGAAGCAATTTACTGCATCATTCTTAAATGAAATATAATATATTACAATTAATGATAAGAAGATTCCAATTTTTGGTTGACAAAAGACACATTTTAAATATTAACACTAATTTAAAACAACGGTGAGTGGAAAATGACATAGAAAAAATTAACAACACATGGACAATATAACATTAATGTAATCTAATAATTTTAAAACAGTAGTCACAGATAAAGTGCAATACAATATCTACATTTGAATTTTGATCCCATTTGATGTGAAGACTGTAAATTACATCATGTTATAAAATTTACTTGGTTCGATTTATTTGCAATGTCGCGTTATCAGGCTTTGTGATAATTATAGCCCGCATTTATCTTGTTTTTAAAAAGTCTCTTTAGACAAATTAAATTATTTCAATTCGTGCTTAGGCTCCATTTGTTCTTAGATAAAATGGTCATTGAATCGGTTCAAAATCCACGATGGCTACACACACAACACTGGTCTACAGCCAAAATGCTTCCGAAATAAATGCAGTCAAACTTTACTAATTATGCGTCACTGAGAACGAAAATGATGCTTAAAATTGTTGATTGACTCTAGTTTTAAAGATATGATACTGGGTCAGTATATACGACATTTTACTTGGGAATGGCGGAGTATAAGTGAGTTATAAAGGTAAAGGATTTCAGTTTAAACCAGAAATGACTAAAATACATCTTTGACTGGATCTATCAAAAAATCTGACATGGTTTGGACAATACTTCCTTTTAAGGCAAACAATGAATGATGTAGTCTGGAGCTGGTATTGGGTCATACATGATATGAATTACATCATGTTATTCCTAGAAGTCATGGTTGATACCATCATAACTAAGCTTACATCACTCTGCTTGCTGCACAAATTGCCCTATATCAGCTCTAGAAATCATACAATCTGGTGATCTCTTATTTTTCAGTGTTTGATTTGCAAAAGGACACATTTCTGTTTAGCCAAAGTGAGCAGAGATGCCTCGTACTTTTTGTGAACAAGGCAGATAACTATGTTTGTGGTGAAGTGACTTTTGCATCTCAAAAGTGCAGTATAACTACTGTGGTTAAGAAAGCCTATCACATTTATTTTGGCTGAAAAATTGGAGATCAGGACAACAGTCGGGCCCCACACATATGCTGCAACACTTACGCAGCAAATCTTCCTCAACAGTTGAACAGGGAAAGGAAACCTATGCCTTTTGCACAGCCAACGAATTATATCAGCAACTGTACCTCTAGTTGGGGAAGGTGTGTCAAAGAAGAAAAAGTGGACTGTGCATTATCTAAACATTTCATCAGCTATACGCCCAGTACCCCACAGAGAAGGATTGCGGGTTCCTGGTGCACCAGAATCATTTTCACTCGAGTCAGAGGAGGAAGAAAAAGAGGATGAAACTTTTAGTCCTAAGCCATCGATGTCAATAAGACTCTGTAAAGAAAGCATTACTATGGCACCATGAGCTGTTGGCTGAACGTTTCCGAAATCTCTTCAGAGAGTCGTTGAAAAAAAAACACCGAAATGCATGCACAATGTAATGCACGTGTGCGAGTACGTTTCGATAAATGGCTACAAATGACGGGTACTGCACTAACATATGAAAACATAGGGGTGAAAAGTTTGAAAGAGCACATTCTTAGTATGTACTTTAAAGATTTTATCGTGTTCTTAGCAGAACGAGAGTTCTTAACCCTATAAGATATACGCTTGATGTCTGAGAGTTATTATATAGGATCGACTCTGCATTAGCGAACCTAGGAAGGCCACTAAATGGACACTCCAAAGACGGAATGGTCAAAACGGGGGAAGGTCAGGGTCCGATAATTTCAGATAAAGTGCAATACAATATCCACGATATCATTTCTGTAAGACAACGAAGACCTAGAGGGTATATAAGGGTAACATTGGAAAGAATGATCTCATGTATTGCAGCTTAAACAAGCCAGGCCATTTTTTAATAATTGTAGAAAGTACCGTCTGACAACAATAAACGGGGTAACTCCATAAGCTATTAGGAAGCGAAAACAGTGGGTTAAAAATCATAGAGGTACCTACGGTTGATGCTATATGGCAACTGTGTTGCAACTACCCGTATTTTGTAGATAGTGTGTCAAGCTTAGAGATTATAACGATAAGGCGGTTGATGTCTAGTTCCAAAGAAAACTATAGATTATCTCCCGATTGTTGACGTCTAACTAAACTCGCCGTAGATGAAAGGGTGTATACAAGTAGCTGTTTGTCGTGGTTGTCTCACGACGTAATCTTATGGTGAAGTTATGTGATTTAACAGCATTACCTTATGACGTATACACATGTGCATGTGAGATCTGTTGAGATGCGAGCTATGAGGCGAAGGTCAGAGTCTAAGCAGCTCAGATTATCGACTTTGCCCATCCACAGTTTGCTTCCTGAAGAATTGAGGAAACTTCAAGAGGAAATGCGTCTATGCAAGGTACGCATTTATGTAATAGATGGGTACGTACGGAAATTGCCACACAGCTTCGTGAATTTCGCATCTAATCGAGTTATTTTGTACAGGTACGCCATGAAAGGGACCAATAAGACCAAATTATTGTGCCTGCAGCCAGAAGTTATAAGGCTGGCACATGAGGGTCTACTTGGAAGTCACATAAGCTTGGCGAAGACCAGAGGTAAGCTAATGAGGGAGTTATATTAGCCATGTATATAAGGAATGTTCGGAGGTTTTGTTTTTCGTGTTACAAGTGTAGTGGATGGCATCTAAGATGTTACATCACCCGCCGCTACTAGGAATCCTTTCTCGAGGGTGTTGATGGATTTGATAGGTCCGATAAAACCAGGGTCGTAGAGCAGTAATCAGAAGGCCGCGGTTGCATTAAAGAACATTGACTCAAGTAAGGTGAACGAGGCTTTGTAAGGAGCAGTGTTCCAGAAGAGACACTAACTGACCAGGGAACGCAGTTTGTGAGCCAGGTGATGGCTTTGGTGAAGAGGTATTGTCCATTAGACACATGACTACCTCCACCCTGCCCGTATCACCCGCAGTGCCAAGCCCTGCTAGAGCGTTTTTATGAGTTAATGGAACAAGTCTTGAGAATGTTTTCTGAAAGTCAACCCATCGATTGTAATCGATACCAGAGCAAATTCTAAGCCGAAATCTAAGTCCAGAGACGATTGTTAAATCAGAGTTCGACGGACAAGAGTCCAAGACCAAACAACTAGACAAAGATTGGCAGAGCAGGGACGAACGGAAGTCTTGATGTCCGCATAAAATAGGTGATGAAGTCTCTCATCGTTGCACTCAAAGGTCACATCTCGTTGGCAATGAAGATAGAATACTAACATTGAAAGTAATTGTAGCCTTTAAAGAAATTTGTATTGTCTTTTTATTTGAGTACATGTTAGTACAATTTTCCTTCTTTTGTAACCAAGTAATTGATGTCTTTTCATTTTAAATTATGTTGATAAACTGATTAAATTTTAAATTTGTTCATTGAAAGGGGGCTCGTTGTGTTTATTTCTTCAATATACTTGTTCAGTGATATGCATTCTTCTTTCTATCTATCCACACTGGGTAAATTACACCGCGGAAGTCATTTCCTAGCAACGAACCGTAGTGAAAGGTTGGTGTGTTTTGAACGCCGCCAATTTGTCACACAGGCCAACCAGTCCTAACACTAACCTCTTAATGCTGAGTGCTAAGCGAGGAAGCTGTTAGTACCATTTTTTAAAAAAGTCTTTGGCATGACTCGGCCGGGATTCGAACCCATGACCTTCCGCATCCGAGGCGGACTCTCTAACCACTAGGCCAGCGGAGCGGTTAGACGAAGGCTAGTACAAAAACCCCAGAATTTTCACTGTGAAAAACAATTTTTAATCTTTCGTTCCAATTTATAAAAATTTCAGAAAATGTCTTTGTCCAAACCAGTAGTGTTGTTCTTCAGGGAAAATAATTATTTAGAAAGTAGACGATGTACAATTATCTCCTCTAACAAAACACATGTCGTTCTACGCAGACACACGAACAGACAACTTCCAGCACAACAATACCTTTTTAAGATAATAGCAGTTGTGTGACTCTTTAAGATGTTGAAATCGGCTACGACTGTGACTGAACTTTCTTGCAGATAACTAAGCATATAAAAGACACTAATACGTCTTTTCATATACACATGCAAGGAGGACACGTGTAATTTCGCAATGCATCTAGACATCAGGAAATCCTGACCAAGTATTGGCCAATCATTTAAATAGCTATTTCTGAAAGTTTACTTGCGATGAATTTACTATCATATAAAGCTCGTGCTTTATATATATATATATATATATATATATATATATATATATATATATATATATATATATATATATATATATATATATATATATATATATATATATATATATATATATATATATATCGTGTGTGTTTTAGATTTTTAACGTAGCTTTAACAATTTTCGGTCATTTTGCTACGATATCTGCGGTGTGACAAATTATTGTAATGTCTAGCACTGGGGCATCATGCCAAAGACCTGTAGCGTTATCTACCATCCAGTCACATTATCCTGACAACCTGTTACCGGTTAATATTAACCTCTAATGTCTAAAGATTCAAAACCTGTGTGCTTATTAAATGGTGACCAGTTTTACAAGCAAACCATAAGGTTCCATTACAACTGGAAGCAAGGTCCCAGACATACATACATACATACATACATACATACATACATACATACATACATACATACATACATACATACATACATACATACATACATACATACATGCATGCATGCATGCATGCATGCATGCATGCATGCATGCATGCATGCATGCATGCATGCATGCATGCATGCATACATACATACAGACAGACAGACAGACAGACAGACAGACAGACGGGTCGAGTCTTCAGATGTTAATTACAATAAAGATTGAACAATATTAAAATGTAGACGATATTCGATGATAATAAATTCCTTAAGAGATCATGCAGGAGGTGGAGGGAGTCTCCTAAGGTAAGTTAGAAAGCTACTAGATAATCTGAATGGAATAGAAAGCTACTAGATAATCTGAATGGAAAATAGACTCCTTATGTCAGATAGCGGCAGCGAAAAGGAAAATGTCCCTCTTCCGTAAATCCAATAAAAATCGTGATGTCGTATCCGTATGACTATCGAGCGACACGGAAATATACCTTTTTGTGATTTACTCAAGCTCTTGAGCATGGCTCAAAGCTCGTTTTGTTCATCTAAATTAGTCGTGATGATAGATTCCACTTGGGAATGGATACAACGACATAATTTATCATAAGAACGTATGGGTCTATGGTTTATCCTAAATTTGGACCGCATAGTCATTGTAATGGGATCCCAAAGAAGTAGATATAGGAGGAAGACTTCCCTTGCCGCATTGAGCAAACCCATCAAGCGAAGGAATTCTCCAGTGGGTAGATTGTTCCTTATAGGCAAGGAATCCAACAATGTGCTAATTCAATTCTCGTTCCTGGGGAAGACATAATGTTTACTTTTGAATGTCGAGATTCAGACCTAGATGACCTAAATAAAAAGAGGTACGAGGTCGGAGATGTTATTTGTTCACAAGGATACTGACAATGAGAAGAAGGGTAACAAGAGATATATACTAACCCGGCTGATTTGTAGTCTTTATTTTTGTACGCGAATCACAGAGCTTTCTGGAAGACATGTTAGTGGGGATGTCAAGTCACACTGATTGCGAAATCTCACCAATAGACGGCATTTAAAACTGGTTGTTACATTCCTTCGTGAACCAAAGAGCGTACAAGAGTTAAAAGAATAAGCCTAAGTCGACAACCAAGTGAAGATTGCTACATTTGTAATTGAAGTAACTCTGGGAAAAGAACTGCGTTGAACACGATGCGGAGTACCCAGGAAATCACTTTCGGGTCCATATATCCTCACGGAAACTCTTCCTCATTCGGCAGTGACAGATCTGAGCCACTTCAGTATCTGTAATAAGGAGGGAGGGTGTCGTGAAAGTGACGTCATTAAATTTAAGCAGGGTTTCGTTGAGAGAAACCCTGGCGAAAACGATCACCCTCCATTCTCCTCTTTTCCATGTTATATTCGTTGAACCGTAATTTTCGATGGTTGTAAATTTGGTTGGGCAGCTTCAAGCGTTTTAGAGACGTCCCTGTGTTATCTTGTTGGTTGCCTTGCAAATTCATCGGCAATAGCTAAGACTGAAGGATGGAAAGAAAGCATCCCTGTTGACGTGTTAGTGAATTCTGTCAACCGAATCATTAAAGAGGACATTAAATGGTTACGGTTCCAAGCATAGCTTGAACTATGATGGTATTCAATTAAAATGGTGGTAGAGAGCACTTCATCTCGTTCTACCATTTGCAAATTCGTTGCTGTTGATAGGTTATAAAACATGTTGGTGCCTTATTGAAACATAGTCTTGTAAATATTTATTGTTGGCCTTGGCATATTAGTTTTTATATAACACTTATCCCCGCATCCGAATCCCCTGCTCGATGAAATAGAACACATTAAACCTATCCCCATTGTCAAGGTATTTTAATGGACAAATATCTTTTCGTATCAGTAAATTTGATTTATTTTTTACCGAAATGCTCAGTCAAATTATCAAACTTAGCGCAGCCTTTCACAAACTCGTCCAACGATGAAGCCATAAACTGAAAACTATCAATAAATCTTAACTTGCAAAGGGTCACGGAAATTATGGGAGACAACAGAAACAAAATCGGGTGCGGTATATTTTAAATTTCATTTTTCATGTGATGGATGACAGCTATCTTGAGAGGCGTAATCGCCTGCTCACAAATATGAAATATCTCTGCTGCAGGAAAATCAGCTTCTTGTTTTCTTGTTAGTGGTTAATATTATGATGACGTCATAAGACAAAGACAAACAGCAGGATTCACTCCTCTATAAATTGTTATTGATTCTGATTAACTTTTATCAACAGCACAAACAAGTTTATATGCTACTTCACAAGGAATAGGTTCTTGTATTTTACTTGTTGAAGATTTATCAGGGTTATTTTCTGCTCCTAGCACTGGAAGTAAAATGGACTAAAAATCTGCGTAAATAACAAAAGATTCATCTTGTGTCTGTAATTTGTAAATTGTAATATCTTTTCTTCTCCGCCAGGAATAGATATCCGCTGTACGTTAGAGCAATACTCGAGATGTCGATGAAGTACTTGCTGAGACTTACAATCGAGCAAGCATCTGACACAGAAATATTTATTTTATTTGTGCTTGTTGTACTGACTTCTGACTAGCCGTTAAAGTTTCTTTTATTCACGCGTAACGATTTTTTAAATAAAACAATAAAGTAAGTTTTGTTTGTGATGCTCGATCGCTGATATATCTTGGATATATCTTTTGTGATTCATCATCTACACCAAATGCATCAACACCTCTTGTTAAAAGAAGATTGTTTTGTATTTCAAATTTTGGAATTTGATTTTCAGCAACAAGAAAGTACCTCTTACTAAAGTTTAGATTGTTAATGTGACATATTATTCAATACTCGATAAGGATGATCTCGTGCTAGAAATAACGCTGATAATATAACTCACCGAAATCACTTGTTTATATTTGCCTAACATCTTCAGTTTTTTTTTATTTTAGTTGGCAGCTAAACACATGAGTTACCTCGTAATGGATTATATTTCATAGCGTGAAATAATATTTGTTTTTTTTTTATGAAATCTCCAATCTGATCCTGATGAAGTGTACTCATCGATCTTCTTCCATATTTCATTAAATATATTATCTGGCATCCACATCAAATATGTCCCACTTAAAATGCGACGAGATTTTGATGTGATATAGGATTAGCAAATTCCTCTCGTTGCTGTTATTGTGATTCTTGAATCTCCGAATAGATATTTAGCTTACAAAATCAACATCAAACTTTACAACGTTCTTTAGACCTCAGTGTTTGGCAAACTCATATTATAATTGACATAATACAATGATATAAGTTTGTGGCAGAGAAATTTGCTAGAACAAGTTTATTATCAAATCTACAGCTATTATCGAACCCAGCAAATGCAGTTGCAATTTGTTTCGATTTTATAGCTTGATATCCGCATCGTTTTGCTATATTAACAAGTTTCAGCATTGGCATATTATATTGTTTTAACATGTATTTCATTTAGTTTGATATGCAAATCTGTCAATTAGAGATTATAACAACACAATAAATAATAAGACAAAATTTGTATCAACCTGTTATCTTGAACGGCCTCGCAAGGCGGAAGTAAATATTATAGATTAATCCTGGATATAAATTGTTTGCTATCCATGGTGGGTTTAGCTATCTTAACAATTGAAACTGATTCTTCTTCTCTCCCCTGTTGCTTTTTGGCCTTTTTAATTTCCTCAAAACGTTCCACAGTTTCACGGATTGCTTAAAGTTGTGATAAACATTCAAACAAAAACATCGATCGGAATTTTTACTCCAGTTGGCTATACAATTCGAGTGAAATGTGCAAAAGATACAAAGTATAAGGAGGTCTTTTGCGTGATTTCATTTGGACTTTGTTTAGCGATGATGAGATTCCAACGGGGGTGCGAGGTGCGAGTTCATTTTGTGAATGGTAGTGTAACAGACAATAACATCGCTAATTTATCATTGCAAGAAGATTTTCAACCACATTTTGTGATTTTTAAGAGGAGAGCAACATGAATTATTAGAAATGCTAAAACAGAAAAAGTTTTGGAAATTATTGATAAATTTGGTTACCTGCAAATGCCATTCGAGAAACTGACATTGATTATATTTGTTGCATATCT